TCCTCCTCCTCCTCCTCCTCCTCCTCCTCCTCCTCCTCCTCCTCCTCTCCTCCTCCTCCTCCTCCTCCTCCTTTCTTCTTCCAAGGAAATAGCTTGCATAGTACAGATTTTCTGATTCAAGGAGATGGTTGGGCAGGAGGTTGACAGGGCTTCCATTTTTCAATCCTGATTTCCATCTCTCTCAGGGAGAGGGAGGTGGAAACCTGAGTAGCAAGAGCAATGTTTTGTCTCCGAAGCTGATTATCGGCACGATGAGCCCGGGGTTTAGAATGTGATTCATTGAATGGCCCCAAACACATTCTTCACCGAGGAAGCTGTTTACATGGCTGTGCAAATTGGTTAGCTGCCTTTAGTCATAGTTCATGTGGAGTATAATTCAACCTCCCTATGCTTGCCAGCAGAGTTGGAGATGGGGGGGAGATGTGTTGGTGATTGGGATCCAATTTACTTCAAGAAGAAGAAGAAGTCCGATCTAAAAGATTAGACCTCTCACGGGACAGACCCAGTTAGAGATGGGGTTCATGTGATACTGTTGGTGGGTTGGAGGTTAATCTATGGTGTGAATGGTGGACCAAGGACATAGCTTAGTGTATAGTATCCCAAATCTCAATGAATCATAATTAAGTAAACCATTGGAAGAGCAAGCCATCTTATCTTTTTTTTTGTTCTGGGGAAGGAAGGGAGAAAGGAAGGGAGGGAGGAAAGAAGGAAAGACTTTGAGGGAGGGAAGGAGGAAGAGGGGAAAGAGAGGAAGGAAGGGAGGGGAGAAAGGAAAGGAGGGAGAGTGGGAGAAAAGACTTGGAGGGAAGGAGGAAGGACTCAGAGGGAGGAATGAATGAATGAACGAACGAACGAACGAACGAATGAATAAATGAATGAATGAACGTTCCTTTCAACTGTTACTAAGTTGGAGCATTTCCTTCTTTTACTTCCTGGCCACCTAGAGAAGTGGGATCATCATGTGAGCTGTGTGGGGAAGAACGGATTCTGGTGCAATACGCTTCCAGTGCTTCTTCTCCGATGCCATGCGACCCATCTGGCCACTGGAGCCCCCGAGGAGCTGAAGGTCAGCCTCAAGTTACCGACCTGGACAAGGGTGGGATGGGGGAAGAGAGGCACAGTGGGCATGTAAGTGCACCCATATGGGCTAACAATTCCTACAAATATACATTGGGAGCCTCTTCAGAGAGCATGATTAATATCTAGAAAGGAATGACAAATTCCTCAGAGAGAAGGCAAAAAGAATGCAATCAGGGGAGTAGCAGTCAAGGATGAGTAACAAATTTATAATTAAGTCTGGAGCCCTTTTTTTCTCCTCCTGGTCTGTGTTAGTAATCAAGACTTGCCTTCTTTTTAAAAAATAGAAGGTTGTTTGCTCACTCTGTTTCTTCTGAACTGATGCAAAAAAATAATAATCACCATCTCTTTGTTACTCAGTCTTGCAACTGTGGCCGAGATAGCCTGTTGCTCTTCTTCTCCGTTGCATCCTTCTTTGACCTCTGTTTCATTTCCCTTAGTCACCCAATAAGAATATTGCTGGTTTCAGATCTATATGTTGCTTGATATCTTGGAGAATCTTTGGTGTCACTAGTTTGATTAGGTTTCCTGCAAGTTTGATTCCATTCTGCTTTTTTCTTCTTCTTCTTCTCTATTCAAGGACACCCAGATGTAGAACAGCCCTGTAAACCTGACGTACGGACGTGGACTCCCAATTCTGCGGTCATTAAGCAAACAGTCCCACCGGCCTGCCCTGAGCCTCAAGGATGCTACCTTGAGCTCCAGTTCCAATATCCGGTCATCCCAGAATCTCTGACCATCTGGGTGACTTACGTTTCCCCCGAGTGGGACTCCAAAGAAGCCATAAACGACATCAAATTGTTGATGGTCGGTGGAGAAAACATTTCGCTTGGGCCTCAGAACTTCTTCTGTGACATCCCCATGACTATCCGGCTGGATATGGAAAAGATGAAGGACGAAGTCCGGGGCATACAGATCTACACCTTGGACGAACAACTGGAAATCGATGCTGCTATGATCACTTCGGTCCCGCAAAGCTCACAGTGTAAAAAGTGCCAGCCCATCCACTACAAGGTCTCCCGGGATCCCCCATTTCAGAAAGGACCTTCATTTCTCATCTCGGACCTCAGCCGGATATTTGTAGACACGTAAGTACCATAGTTGGAAAGCTCAGCAGTTTAGCGGTTCGAATCCCTAGCGTCGCGTCATGGCACGAGCTCCCGTTCCTTGTCCCAGCTTCTGCCACCCTAGCAGTTCGAAAGCATGTTGAAAAAAATGTAGAAAAATGGGGACCACCTTTGGTGGGAAGGTCACAGCGTTCCGTGCACCTTCGGGCGTTTAGTCATGCCGGCCACATGACAATGGAGACGTCTTCGGACAGCGCTGGCTCTTCAGCTTTGTAACAGAGATGAGCAATGCCCCCTAGAGCCGGAAACGACTAGCACGTATATGCAAGGGGGACCTTTACTTTTAAGTACCGTAAGCCAATTTGATTGCTTGTTCTGAACTTTAATTGAAATGGAGTAAGCGTGTTCTTAATTCTGTTTTTTGCCGTCCAGTTGCCCTTTTGCAAAACACTCCTTTTCATCCTCAACCCCTAACCAGGTTAAAACTTGGTAAAGCTGTTTCTCTACTCAACCAATAATTGGACAGAAAATCAATTTGAAGATGATCTGGGACTATGACCACGGAGACTCTCAGTCCTCCAGGTCATGGTTGTCCCAAAGGTGCTTTTTCAAAAGACCACTGGGACTTTGCTTTTCCTTGAAGACATTTTGCTTCTCATCCATAAGCTTCTTCAGTTCTTCAGAAGACAACTGGACCATTTTTTTTCCTTGAAGAGGTTTCGCTTCTCATTGAAGGAGCTTCTTCAGTTCTTCAGAAGGCAACTGGACTTTGCTTTTCCTTGAAGATGATGAGAAGCAAAAGAACTTCACGGAAACTTCAAACAAAAATGAAGTCCAGTTGCCTTTTGTAAAAGCACCTTTGGAATAACTAGAACCATGTGTTTATTCGATATCTTCACTACTGAACTGTGTTCAGTAGTGTCCTAGTGTTTATTCAATATCTTCACTACTGAACTGGTGTTACTGAACTAACCAATGTTATGTATGGTGCTAAGCTGCAAACAAAGCAAATATGAATACTTACCAAATGTACCAGGGTGTGTGAATACATACAAGCCATTATCTTATCCTCTATAGGAACTCAACCATGTTCTCAATTTCCAGACACTTCTCTTTTAGATTAAAAATGGTTTGTTCTCCTCCGAATGTTGAAATTCAGCCACATTTCTCACTGTTTTCTCCCTTGAAAACCGTACGGTTTCAGCAGCTTGAAGACTATCAGTTCAAGAACAGAAGTTGTTTAGATGAGGTTTATCTCAATTGTTGGCTTGTTTGCACATTTATTTGCAAGCTTGTTCTTGGCGTGGCTCCTGCTGTGTCTTGCATCAAGAAATGCACTAAAGTGAGTCACCCTGGAGATTTAATTTGGACAGCAGGGGTAGCAATCTCCATAAGAAATAAACAAAGATAGCTTAACCAAGCCCTCTTTTTGGGGGCTGCTCCTCAGTGAGGTGGGCCAAAATCTTAGGACTGGATGTTCTGATGCTATAAGGATTCAATTAGTTTGGAATAATAAGAACCAGGGAGTTGGGAGTTTAATCTTTCTCTTCCATCATTTCCCCCACAAATTCTAGCTACTGTATTAATGATAACTTTGCGGAGGAAATACAGGCAATATGACCTAGAACAGTGATGGGTAATCTTTTTGGGCTTCTGTGCCACTTGCATGCCAGCACCTAGAAGGCAATGCACACACACATCTCAGGCTGCCAACGCATGTGCGCGTAATCTAGCCCTGTTTCGTCGCTTCCGGTATTTTCAGAAAAACAGGAAGTGATGAAACGGGGCTAGTTTTCGACCTGCAAAGCCTGCAGAAGCCTGCAAGAAGCCTTCCTCAAGCTTTTGGGAGGCCGAAAAAGGCCTCAAACCGGCTGAAAATCAGCTGTGAGGTGCACACATGCCCAGTGAGGTAAGTTTGCATGTTGCTCACGTGTGCCATAGGTTCGCCATCACGAACCTAAAAGGTCCCTTCAAACTCTGTTTCTAATCTAATCTAATCTAATTCATTATTCTGAAGTTCAAAGGAAGCATCTCTTTTTGACTATTTGCCATGGTTTCATGGTTCTAGATTTGGAATGACCTTCCAAGATTTTGCCCAGGCCACAAAACTGTTAATTCAATGACAATAGCCAAGGTGGGGAACCCACAACTCTGGGACAACCTGTTTTGGGGGGTCACCATGCCCACCCAAATTCTGTCAAAATGGTACTCGGGAAATGTTAAATAAAATGTCCCTGCATTTGGGAGTCAGTGCTGCAATACAATTGTGTAAAAAGTAAGCTAGCATGTCCGGTTTTCCAACAGGAAGCTTGACTAGGCAAAAATTGGGATTGGATACTTTCAGGTTAAGGACAGTTAGTCTTACAGCTGTTCATTGAGTGACTATTGGAAGTTACAACCCCAGAGAAAAAAGTGACATGACGTTTTTCACACTTACGATGTTGCAATATCCCCATAGTAACATGATCAAAATTCATATATTTGGCAACAGGTTTATATTATTTCCTTCTCCTCATTGTGTATCTTCTCCTCCTTCTACTTTTCCTCCTCTTCCTCCTCCTCTTTTCCTCATTGTCTATCTCTTCCTCCTCCTTGTCTAGCTCCTCCTGCTTCTCCGTCTCATTTTCCTTCTTCTCTTTTCCTTATTGTCCATCTCCTCCTCCTTTTATCCTCCTCCTCTATCTTCTCCTCCTCCTCCTTCTCCTTCTCTTCTCCTTATTGTCTATCTCCTCCTCCTCCTCCTCTTCCTCCCCCACCTCCCTTCTTCTTCCAAAGTTAAAGGATTGAGGTCAAAAATATTAGTGTGTGTGTGTGTGTACTGTATCTGTCTAACAATATATATTGTTATGCACTTTCTCATGGACTGTTATTTCACCATAGCATTCCATATTTAGATGCTGGAGTGAATTCTAAAATACCACAAAATCTCCTGGGCATAAACAAATGGCATTTTCTCAGTTTGATTGAAGGAAGCAAGGCTGGATGCATGCATTACTCAACAATGTTAAAAATAATTCCCTTTCTAAACTTGTGCGCAGTTCCTTCCCCCTTCTCACCCTTCTTCTCTTGCTTGTTTTGGCCAGAGCTGCTCGGTCCCTGCATCTAAAATATGTCTTCTCCATCCCTGGGTCTTTTGCTTCAATGGACAGGAGCAAGCTTGATCTACTGCTTCTCTGTGGCTTAGTTGGTGAGGCCAGTTGCAAACTGGATGATAACAGAGAAAGAGGTTCTTCCACCCTCTTTTTTTAAAGTGTGGTAGGGAATGGGCCAAAGAAAATAGGTCCTGTTTTATTTTTGTTTTCTTTAACTGTTGCTTGAAATACAAGCAGCTTCCCCCTCGGTCCTCCTGGGAATCCAAAGCAGATGCAATTGACCCTCCCTCCTTAAAGAGGCCTCAAACTTGAGAGCACCTTAACTTTTCACATGTGTGTGACTCCCAGCCATCTCTTGAGAGGAGAAGGAGGAGGAGGAGGAGGAGAAGAAGAGGACAAAGAGGACGAAGAGGAGGAGGAAGAAAAAGGAGGAGGAGGATGAGAAGTAGTATGAGGGGTCCTTGGTGTTCTCTGAGCTTGGTGGTTTTCTTTTAGACCTTTCATGAGCCAACTAGGTATCATCAGTGCTAGAAGGGAGAGGGGTTTGTGGAGTGGAGGGAGGAGGAGGAGAACTGTGGGGTTCTTGGTGCTGGGTTGTTTTCCTGCAGACATTTCATTGCCCAACTAGGGAACATCATCAGTGCATCCTCCTACACCCTACGGTATCCTCCCAGGTAATATTTTAGCAAGAGGAGGACCTGCACAGGTAGGGTTGGAGATGACCTTTAGGACCTCCAAATCTTCAGCAGGTTTTCTTCTTCCTACAGGCAAAACCACACATCCCCACCCTGTTAACCCTCACAGTTGTGTGTTCCATGGCCTCCTTAGTTTGTAAGCTTGCATCAGACCCAACATTGGCTAAGGTGCTTTGGATGCACCTGCCTGTTAAACCAACAAACACAAAAAAACTTGGACACTGACCTGTTCTTCTGCTCCAGCTTGTCCAAACAGCGAGTCAACCAGCTGTAATAACAGAGAGATGCAAGGAACTTCTGGTTTTTCAATGTTTTTTTTCTTTAAATTTGCCAAATCCTGCTCTTGTCTTCTTCTTTGGATACATAGACAGAGACAAAATAGACAGACAGAAAGACAAATCCTTGTTGTTGTTGTTGTTTTGACAATGTTTTGCTTCTTATTCAAGAACTCAATGAACAAGTTCTTGGATGAGAAGTGCAATGAGCTGAAAGAGTGCAGAGAAGATCAACAAAGATGATTAGGGGGCTGGAGGCTAAGATGTATGAAGAACAGTTGCAGAAATTGGATATGTCTAGTTTAATGAAAAGAAGGACTAGGGCAAGGGTCTTCAAACTTGGGAAGCTTAAGACTTGTGAACTTCAACTCCCAGAATTCCTGGGCTAACATGACTGGAGGAGGAATTCTGGGAGTCCACAAGTCTTAAAGCTGTCACGTTTGAAGACTCCTGATCTACAGTATCTATTTCCCTCTCCCTCTCCCTCTTCCAAGGGTCTTCAAACTTGGCAGGTTTAAGACTTGTGGACTTCAACTCCCAGAATACCTGAGCTAACATGACTAGAGGAGGAATTCTGGGAGTTGAAGTCCACAAGCCTTAAAGCTGTCAAGTTTGAAGACTCCTGGACTAGGGGGTGATGTGGTAGCAGCCTTCTAGTGTTTGAGAGGTTGCCTCAAAGAAGAGGAGGTCAACCAATTCTCCAATGAAGGCAGGACAAGAAGCAATGGATGGAAACTAATCAAGGAGAGAAGCAACCTAGAACTTCCCTGACAGTGAGAATAATTAACCAATGGAACAGCTTATCTCCAGAAGTTGTGGGTTCTCCAACATAAATGGTATACTCCTATTCCTCTTACTTGAGGACTAGGAGACCTCCAAGGTGCCTTCCAAGTCAGTCCTTGAACTACTCCGCCTATGGTTAGACTTAAGCATAGCACACAAAATTATCTGCTACAATG